TGAGTATGCTAATCTTAAAATTTTTTAGTTAAGATTTTTATTACTTTCTATCATTAAATTTTTTAATTTTCAAATACTTCATATTTTTTATTTGTTACCTTTTTATATGTAATGTATCACATCATTTATTTTCAATGATGTTTGAGTTGACCCATATATTGAAATAAAATAAAAATAATATAATTATTTATATTGATATACAAAAATATATTTATATATATATATATATATATGTATATCAGTACTAATTTAGAATAATAAATTAGTCTTAAAGTATATAATATAATAAATTTTATATTCAAGTTAAATCAATTTAATTAAGTATAAAATAACATAAGATAAACTTGTGGTATGTTTTCCATACATAAATTTGAAACAATTCATATTAAAAAAAAAAGTAAAAAAATGGGTGTAAACTTCTAACTGTTCCCACGTTTTGGCTAGAGCGCCCAAATCCGATATATGTTTGACACGAGTTTGTCGTAATGCTGAAACTATGGCAAATGCACCTTAGGGTACAAACGAAGCGAAGCAATGTGAAGTCATAGATAAAAGGAAATGCTAGGCCAGAGAAATGAAATTAAATAACATTAGCTATGTGAAGTCAATTACTGCTGCAAAATGAACCCTATAATGGTGGTACCATATATGTATTCAGTAATTATGAAAATGACTTTGTTAATTAATATTTTATCAAATATTGGAAAAAATTCTAAAACTTTTTAATCTAATAATTCATATAAAAAGTACAATTTTATCAAATATATTAAATTACATTTAATCGTATGTGATTATATTAATTGTAGCTTACTAAATAAGATAATTTGATACCATCATTATATAAAACACATACAAAAAATAATATAATACGTATAAATGTGTGCTTTAGTTACTTAGCAAATAAAATATTATTTGTCAATAGAATAAGAAACAAATAATATAATAGTAATGCAATGAGAAAAAGAAAACATGCTAATTTTCTTAGAAAAGTATGTATACCAATAGGAAAAAAAAGTTTTTTGGTCCTTTATCTGCAGGCCGTTTTCAATTTGGTACCGTAAATGGACCGCTTTTGAAAATAGTCCCTTAATAAGTGCAAAAAAAAATAGTTTTTTGGTCCTCCGACCGCCTACAGCAGGTCAGATTTACCGGCTGCCTACGAGGATTCGAACCCAAGTCCAATGGGGAGTAAAAGAGCTCATGGACCACTTGAGCTAGCACACTTTATGTTAAATATTTAACTTCAATTATATATCTACCAACATAGTTTTATCTAATTTATATTATTCAATTTGTACTACTTTTATATTTTAATAATTTTTTTTATATATTAAATAAATAGTATTAATTATTTTCTAAATAAATATTTTAACGTATTTAATTAAATTAATTTTAATATTAAATAAATATTTATCAAAGAAATGAATAAAAAAAATAATATAATTTACCAAATAAATAAATATATTAAATAATATAATAAATAATATTACTTACCAAACGAATAAATACATTAAATAATATAATGTATAATATTTACCAAATA